CGATTCCCTTTTTTCTTACACTGAAAACACAACAGGATGTAGTGTGAGTAGAGATATGAAAAGTATCCATTTTTTAAATATTTTCATCCAATAGACAATAGAATCATGCACATATCATACGTACCATAGGTTTTTTTATGAAGTGTATTGTATCAGAATATATGTTCTCATCAATAAATGAACATTGAAACACAGTTAATCTTCAAAATCAACTCACTTGTTTCACAACATATAGTGACGTATGATTGAAACACTGCTACCCATTATGCTGAAATAAGTTCTAGTTGTACTTACTTTTTCTATGAATACATTATAACATGACGTGTCAAGTAGAAAGAATGTTAACTGGATTTCAAGAAGAAGAAAAAAAAAGCTCATATAATACATCAAGAGAAAAAAATAATCTGGCAAGATTAGAAGCAAGAATATCAATTTATGATCATTTAGGCACACAAATAAAAACAAAGTCATCTCATTTTGCGTCAACGTTGTGATGATATTTGTTCGTATAATATTCGCACATGTGAACGTTGGAATAGTTTTTCAATGAAAATACTAGATGCACTACAAATACAAACTATCCACATGCAAAAACGATTATCTAAATACAATATTGATCTTCACCATTATTACTATATCTGTTGTAAACGAAAAATGAACGAATCAAATATATTTCGAATAATTCAAGTAGCAAAATTATGCAAAATGCATCTATTTCAAATAAAATAGCTGAATCTTTTTCTCCAATTTGGATAGAGAATTGAAGTTATACATATATAGAGAAAAAATTATTAGCAATGATATGGTATATTTTACAGAGAAACTTATTGATCACGTCTTCTAAGATTCTCATTCGTTCTAGAATTCGCTATCAGATAAATACTCCTTCGAAAATAAATAATTCTTACATCCTTAAAGTTTATTACAAGACAATCTACCGGACAAAGTATAATAATAAGATAAATATTTGACTAATTAGAGTGAAATTTATAGGAGTGATTACTAACTATGTCCTCTACAAGCATTCAAATTTTGATGTCCAACTATGTCTTTGTTCTAATGAAGTCAAAATGATTCAAAGATATGCCTCTGCCACTAAACAGAATATATGACATGATTGCCTAAACCATATGAACTTTCAAGAATGTCTTTTTCTGTGTTTTATTTGAAAATAGCAACACTTTTTAGTATGATCTTAGTAATTTTATTAAGCCAAGAGATGATGGTCTCTTATTCTTATAATAATGTATTCTTTTAAAAATTGTTTTAATTTATTCGTTATTGTTATATCGATGTTTCATCACCTGTTGTAGATATTAATGGAACGGCTGGTTGAATACTTCGTTTTGGATGAAAGATTGACCAGGTGCAATGAGCACAAACAATAGGTGCTATTTGAAAAACATAGAACCATGCTTCATGGCTATTGATCTTGTCATAATAAGCCGGTATTGACTGAATCAGGTTAAAGCTAGCAGCAAGTACACAGAGCACACTGGAGATGGTGATCAGAATAAAGGCTCGTCTAGTCATATCCTTCATCGTTTTACTCCAATACCATACGAGATAGAAGAAAAGAGTCACTGCGAGTAAGACTAATGCGGATAGTTTTCGAAAAAGAAAACTTGCATTCCTGCGATCAGGATTGAATGATAACATATTGGCCGGTACCAACAGAATACCGGACGTGATAACACATAGAACGGCACCTGCAAGAATAGCACGCGAACGAATAGATTTTTCACGATGAATTTCCCTAATAAAAAGATAATTGCTAACAATAAGCATCCGTTGACTTGTAGCAAAAAGAATATTAGCAACAAGGAAGATATTTTTCGTATTGTGTTGAGCTGCAGGAGTGACGGAATGAACGATCAATTCAATGAAAATACACAGGTTTGAAATCAGAAGAATAATACTTAGACGAGGTGGTCGAAACCGAACTTGCCACGATTGAATAAACCAAGTGATGAGTGAAATGCTGACGATTACAGCAAAACAACCTGCGACAACTTTATTTGGCACATATGTTGGATAAGGATACGCCAATGAATCATGCATAGTATTAATTTTTGTTATGAAATACCGTAAAAAGAGGCTAACTAAATTGTTTCAATCTGCGCTGACACAATAAACCAATTTCTCTATTTTGAAGATTGCGTTCTAAACAAAGTCTTACGAACCAAATAAATGTGGCATATGATGTTGTTGTTGTTTTTAAATTCTTTTTTCTTTCTTTTATTTGCTTCAATATAGCCAGGTAACTTATACCAAAACTCAGTATTATCAGTTAAGGTGCATTATCATCAGTGATATGGCCACAGTGACAACGAACAAAACATATGTAATAATGAATAAACATGACAAAAAAGTCTTGTTGTATCCATTGCGTGTTATCAATCAGTTACAGTAGAAATTGAGACACATTTTTTTTTCCAATGACCAGATTACCTCCACTTTTCAATTCTTTTTATGTTTATATTTCATCAAATGATTAAGAAGAAATAATAGTTGATTACCAGTCTATTTCCTTTGGTTTTACAAATATTTTACAGCAAAGAAACAAAAAATGAATGTGAAACCATCACTACATAGTATATCGAATGTTTTTCTTTATTGTATTATTAATTACTTCACTATACATAGCTTTGTTCGATTATAACAATAAGATAATAAAAGATATGAAAAGTAGCAAGACAGTTGAATTTTAACTTCATGATAAATGCCACTTAAAAGTTTGCTTTCATCTCTTTTACTTTGTTGTATTTCGGGATTTCATCTTCTATCTTCAGCTCTCTCCAGAACCCATGTTTGATTGAGATACTTGTCCGTTTAATTCTCATTGTCTGTTACACGTTTTTTTCATATATTTCAGTTGACGGCAGACACAATTCAAAGAGCTATAGATCACATGCGAAAAAATTAATGAAGCATCAAAGAATATATAAAGACGTTTCTAGTTTAAGAAATATTTCTTAAGAACAACTACATCATAATAATTGGTGTATTATTCTTCAACTATTCTTAGTGAAGCATTATGTATCAACTCATAGAAGGAAAAAACAGAATATCTTTAATAATAAAAGTACCATGGGTCATTATAGAACAACCTCATATTAAATTTATTCTCAAATGAATGAATATAATTTTTGCGCTAGAAAACAATTGGAATACCTAGTAAAAAGAATAAATTGATACAAACTTTCATTAAAAACACGTCGATTCTTGTTCAGAGTGATACTACAACTGAAAATGTTCATGTGTAATATAGCATTGTCGAAATAAAACAACAAAATTTTCTGAATACAGTTTGCCGAATTGGAGAAATGTAGAAATATTCTACGATTAGTATAAGTGATTAAAAATGTATGAGACAAATATAATTTAAATGATTTAGCACAATTATATTTTACATGAAATAGAGATACTAATTTTTTAAAATCATTAAAAATTTATCGGTTGAAGGCTGATTTGCTTCTGTCCCAGTTTTATTAATATTCAGAAATATTTGTTTCTTCAATTAAAATCAGAAGCTACGACAATCAAATACAAATTATACCCGAATGATAACCAATATCAACAAGCGCAATCGTCTATCTCTATTCAACGCCATAATTTCTTTAAATTGATTCTTTCATTCTAAAGAAACAATATAAAATGCAGAAATATTTTATCATGACAATGAAATAAAAAACAGGAACTAAAGCAGCTTTTTACAAAACTGTAAAAAAAGAAATTTGAATCACATGTTCCTTCATAATGATTTTTGTGATTACATCACACCTAAAATTATATGATTCGTACCGAACAGATATGTTCATCATGACTAAAAGTCCACCATTACTATAAAGCGGTTCTAAAAGAGACAATATCGTCCCTCTCCTGCTGTGGCGAAGACTTTCTGACAGCTCGTTGAAAATTTTCCCCATCACTGAACTGAATTAACACAGTTAGATTCGCCACGATTTTGGACTGTTGGATTTCTTGATATTCAAATCGATGCTAATTCATGCAATTTGACAACCTTTCAAAAAAAAAAAAGAAACGGCTGTGGTCGCTGATGCTGTCGTGATGGTAAGGCGTCAAAGCCACCATGGGAATCTCTAACGTTAAGATTTATTTCTACTGGTGTCACATGAAGCAACAAAAAGCAAGAAAATAATTTTTTTCTTAATAAACAAAAAATATCTGACAAAATGTGCTGAATGTGAATGCGAGTAGAAATCTTTCGTTCATCCCATCCATATCCACTTTCTTAAAATCTAAACGAAATTCAATGTTTTTGTTTGTTGAATAAAAGCCTTACATATTTTTCTATGGTTATTCAATAAAATTGAAATGCTTCTTTTGTCTACTATGTAACTCTTTCTTTCTTTAAATGAACATCATCTTTAATGAAAATCGCAATTTTTTATTGATTTGCTATATTTTAACACACGCTACTCTTTTTACTTCATATTCGAGATTATTTTGTAAAGAAGATGAAAGTGTTACAAATGATCTGTAGATAATCAGAATCAATAATACGAAAGTTCTGAGAAGTTTTATGCTTTTTATTTAATGTTATAGATTGTTGATTGATTATATTATTGATATATGATATCGATGATGAGTTATCATCAATACTTTTATAATTTTTAGATTATAGCATCTTCATTGACAAAAGACTAGTTTAGTTGCAAGAAAAGCATATCGAATAGGAACATATTATATTTGAAACTTTAAGTTTCAATTTTTATACTACAATTAATTTTTAACTATGATTATGTTAGTATGACAACTCGTGATTGACTAGTAATAAACTTAAAAACACTAAAACACAAAGAGTCTTTACATATCATATATGTTCTAGTTATTTTTACTGATAAAAGATAACATATGTTACTCGTGTGTTCTTATTTCCTTATCAAAAATAAATTTAATTCTTAGGGTTTTAGAAAAAGAAATATCATTTAGAGTCAACAATTACGACAAAAACAAATTAAAAAAAAACTATAGTGATGTTTATCATTTCGTGTATTATTTTAACTTGTTTTCAATCGATCGTAAATGCCAATAAACCCGTAATTGTGCATACAAATTATGGTGATGTAGAAGGTTATGAGACAGATTTGGCTCGTGTTTTTTATGGTATTCCTTATGCTCAGCCACCTGTTGATACATTGAGGTATTACTTGAGAAAAATTTTTATATGTCTTTCTCTCATCGTTCTATTATATCTTTAGATGGAAACATCCAGTGCCCATTCCTAAATGGGCTCCTAAAGTGATTAATGCTACTCAACCAGCTCCTGCTTGTCCTCAACCTCCATGTAGTTTACCATCTATATTATGTCCAAAAATTGTAATTATAATAATCAATGAATTCTCGGAAAGACTTTTTTTCTACATTTAGATGTCTGAAGATTGCTTGTATTTAAATATAATTACACCGTTATCAAATGATTCTTCTTTATTACCCGTTATGCTTTATATAGCAGGTGGAAACTTTCAATTTTTGGATGCATCAATACCAGTGTATGAACCTCAACATTTTGTTAATCAGACGAATGTTATATGTGTGCTTATTCAATATCGACTTGGTCAGTAGAATATTTTAATCATAACTTATAGTCATATAAAAAAAAATGTTGTTACAAAGGTGTACTTGGTTTTTATGCAACTGGATCCGGACCGAATGATATAAATGGCAATTATGGTATTCTTGATCAACGTATAGCAATTGCATGGGTCAAAGCTAATATCAAAGCATTTGGTGGAAATCCAAATCAGGTTTAAAATTTATGAACTTATTTTCTATGATTTTAAACAGAAATTTTTCTTCATTAGAAATCTTAAGTTGTTTATTATTTATAAAACGTATAAAAATGAAGACGATTTATTGAAAACAAATTATACTAGATGAAATGTCGAAGAGTACATACTTTAACCAATAAATTTTAGTTTAGAAGATAGTATACAATTTTGTTACGCGACTCTGACAGGATTTTAACATCAGAACAAAAAATTTTTCAAAACAACTTAAAGCCATAGGCATATTTCTCATAGGAATGATCTGGATGTTGGAAAGTATACTGGAAAAAACACTGCTGTGAGAGTCATGAATTTTATTCAATAATCTATTAATATGAAGTAAAAATTTTGTAGCTATCTCGACACTTAAAATGACTCACTATGATGTATATAAATAGCGACATTATTTATGAAATATTTTAAGGCAGAATAATATTAGAAATTTTATAAAATAGTTAAAAATTTCTGCATCTACTTTTAATTCTTAATCTTAATATAATTTTGCTACGATTTTGACAGATAACTATGTATGGAGAAAGTGCTGGAGCTCAATCAACAGCTTTACATTATATCACTCCTGAAATGCAATCATTTTTTCAAGCTGCCATCATTCAAAGTGCTCCAATGTCAATACCTTTTAGGTAAAATTATTTCTTCTATTAGACATTATTGAATGTTATCAAATTTATATAGAACCTATGCCGAATATGTCACACCTGGTGTACTCCTCGGTGAACAACTCAATTGTAGTTACAGAAATATCTCCTGTTTTCGTGCCGCTTCTTATCAACAAATAGTTGCTGCTCAAAAAGTCGTCAATACAATGTTAACATCATTAAATATTTTACTTTTCTTTGAACCATGGGTACCTGTTATTGATAATTCAGTTGTATATGGACAAGTTATTGATATTATTCAAAATGTATCATTTCCATTAAAACCACTTATTATTGGTACATTAACTGAAGAAGCTGTACTTTATATTTATGAAGGCTGGCACAAACCAGTCTATCCTAAACAGTATACAGAAATTCTTCTTACTACATTTAATCGACATGCTTTAAAAGTTCTCGAACGTTTTCCACCTGAAGGAACAGGCGATCAGCGTCTACTTCTTGCTGATGTTGGTACTCGTTGGGTATTTGCTTGTTCAACTCGTGTATTTGCTCGTAAAGCAGCTACATATACATATGTTTTTGGATATCCTCTTGATTTTGACGGTTGGGATAATTTAACATTTTGCATTGGTCATGTCTGTCATGGTAGTGAATTACCATATGTATTTGAATCAGGTTGGGTCAATTTTACTGATGCAGGTCGAATATTAGCAACAAATTTAGTAACTTATTGGACTAATTTTGGTAAAACACATGATCCTAATCAACCAGTAACACCATCATTGTTATGGCCAAAATCATCAATAGGTAATGAGCAATATATGTATTTTCAGAATCCATTGCAAGTAGAAGAAAATTATTTAAAAGACGATTGTGACTTTTTTGATAAGATTGGTTATAAATATTATTATCAATAGACAAGTAGACAAGGAAAAATAAGACCAGCTTTTAATTTATTTCTTGCATATTGTTTATTAATTATATCTTTTTAGCCTATTTTTCTTTTCATTGATTTTAGCGTCTGTGTGTGTGTGTAATTTCAAAATACAAAATATAAAATCATCAATTTTATTTTTTAAACTTCTGATTCAAAGATTAGTTTCCATGGTACAGAAAAACTTAACAATAAAATAAGAGAGCCGAGAGATATACTGAATTTATTTGTTTTGATTAATTCTTTACTTTTCGTTCATCACTGGATCGTCCATTTGTAGAACGATTACAGCAAATAAAGGAAGAATGCGATTTAAAAACGATAAGAACATTTTTAGTAATGAACTTCGTGAACTATTAACCGGTAAAAAGAATATTTCTTTCATCACTTCGTCTTTTAAATTTTCAGTCTACGAAATCGATAATTTTGAAAAAATAGAAAAACTGAAGCTTTTCGCTACACGTTATCCTCAACCTATACTTAATAGAGACCTTTTGGGATTTCTGTGTCATATAAATTCACAAAGAAACTCATTAGTGGATTAGATATATTTTGAAAGCTTCACGCTAACTCGGCGAAATCACACATAATAAGGCATACGATTGACCATTGAACCATTCTTGATCAACCAAAAACAAAGCTAATATATGTATTATAAACCTCAACTAATGAGAACTTGAAAGGTTATTTATTATAAATCAAATTTCTTCAGAAGTTACCAAATAGTTCAAAGCAAAGTAAATATATTTTTTTAAGAAGATACGTCAAAAACACATGTAGCCTTTTGACATTCATTTATATTGGTTTACCTTTCCCTCTTTTTTTTATTACTACAATATTTTGGGATTGACGTCGCTTTCACCCACTCAATAATTTAGTCAAAGAAAACAGTCAAGGCTTAGTATATCGTTCAATTCTCTTTCTCCAATAGACGATCATTGAACTTATCAAACGGCCCTACATAAAGATATGAACAATCGATGAATTAGATCACATCATTAACATATTAGACAAGCTAATACTCTATTTATAACGTTATTTGATCAATACTGTTAAATATTGCGACTAGGTTCTCTAGTGAATATTGAATAGCATTTATTTTTTTCTACGAGCTACTGAGAGTATAAATCAGTTGTGGTTGAAAGGTCATCTCCTTCATTTGAACGATAGAATTTACAACAAATATTTTTCTTTCTTGCAAATTTGACTGATTATATAAGACATTGATTGTCGAAAAATTACCAACAGTTATTCAAGTTTATAAACAAGAACATACACATTTGTTACAATAAAAAGATTGAAGGTATTTGAGAGTAACTTATCTAGGCGATTCAGCATGAATAATTATCATTTGTTGACTGCAACTTGTATATTGAATTACTTGAATAAATATAATGTATATATCATATTGATTTTCTTCAAGTGTTTTTTCTTCAAAGAACAAAACGAAACTCACTACACTATAGGATAAATGAGTTTGATTAGTCGCAAGTAGAAGAAGAAGTTAATAACAGAAGACAGATAATTTTATTTATTAATAAGACGAAGCGTAAGATATCATGAACAATTTTTCTTAAAACAATTAGCCATCGTTCTTAATTAAATATTTATATCTGGACTATTTCTTGAATTTGTTTATTTCAGTAATAGTTTTAATAGGTCGGTTTCCGGTTTTATTAATCTAAATGCTTGACATTGAACATATCTCATGAAAAAAATAGAATGAAGATCATATCTATTAAAATCGAAACCACTATGTGAAAAACAATAAGAAATGATTCTAAGTGTAAAATTAGAAAGAAAAAATTTATCATAATTCTTATTTTTAAAACTGTTCGTCAACTTTTCAATAGAGCTATTTTAGTTTTTATCACATCAACACGTTATCTTCAGAGGAAAAAATAGAGCATATTTTTAGTATTCAGTAGAATTTTTTGTTTTTGTTCAATAATAATTACAAGCTACTTTATATATAATATTCAACGCAGAATTTAATGGTCTACGTTTTGATAAAAAGTATCGACTCACATATTAAAGTTTTAATTGCATATTAATTAAGTATTCATAATGAATAACTCTAATTTCTAGGTAATACTTTCGCTTTAGTTGTTGACTTCCACGAATAGCATAAGAGATAACATCAAAAATAAAATAAAACTGTGTACTTTTAGTTTCGATATGAATCATTTTATTGAGAGACTTTTGAGAGTATTTACCAATTTTCAGTACATATAATATTTATTATTTTGAAATAAATTCAACTATGAAATGAAACTTTAAATTTGAAAAAAAAAGCTGGTATATTTTGAAAAGCAAAATCTACTCTTTCTAATGAGGTCTTGCTGCTCTCTTTGCAATATACTATTAAAGTGTTACAAGGGTTTGAAATTATGGTAAGCTAAATAGCAAAAAATGGCACGAAGTCATGACTCTAATTATCTTTTAAAACTTAAGATGCTGTGACATGTTAACAGTATATTGTAAAGATAGTAGCAAGATCTCATTTGAAAGAGTAAATTTTACTTCTCAAAATATGTTTGTTTGTCTGAATTTAAAGTTTCATTTCATAGTTGAATTTATATAAAAATAATAAACACAATGTGTATTGAAAAATATCGACACTATCGAACGTCTCAATAAGGTCATCACTGTCGAAACAATAATTACATAGTTTTATTTTATGTTTGATGTTCTATTGTATTCTATAAGTGGAAATTAACAATTAATGCCAAATGTTGCCCTAGAATTTTAAATTATTCATTATAAATACGTGATTAATATGCAACTAAAATTTTAATATGAGAGTTGATGTTTTTTTGTTACAATTAAATCCATTGAATAAACAGAAACTCTGCTGAATGCTGAAAATGGGTTAAACCTCTTTACTGAAAAGAAACGTTATTTGTGTAAAATAAACCAAAATAGCTTCACTCAAAAATATTATTCTCAATAAAGTCACGTTGATGAAGAATCTTAAAAATAAAAAGAATAATCAATCTTTTCCACTTAATTTAGCTGAAACGGTATTATGAAAATAGGCTTTTCTCAAACACAGCTTATAAGAGCTGTTCTATAGTCTCATATATTCTTGTATGATTAAATATTTAGAATTCATATGGTAGACATAATATCTATCAGGCGTTCGTATTTCTACGTGCTCAAGCCTAAACAATAAGAATAAGATATACATATACACGTGTGAAACACCAGTATTTATCATACTTTCGTGTGACTTAGATCAGATTTCAGATTATGATGTTTACAAAACACAAGTATGACGATGAGATTTGATTTAGTCGTATATGACAATTTACTGTGAAAAATAATATTGAGTTTAAACTTTTTAAATATAAAACTCGATATTAAAACATTGATCAACATTTCGAAATATTTTTATCATATTTCCATTTCTTTCATTTTTGATGTCACCAAAAACAAGTACAGCAAATAATGAAAGATTTTGTACGTTTACACATGAATGAAAATTGATATAAATATCTGTTCTTCTTTGTAATTGGTTAATAAAAGAGTTCTGTCATGTTTTTGATTTCAAGGATTATTCATAAGATTCGACAAGACATAGTTAAACTATATTATTATGATGTCATCGATTGGATTGATCATACTTTGAACACTGACATGAATTGGCAAGTACATTCAGAATGTAATAGTGTTGACTACCTTTGTAAAAAGTTCTCGTAGGACAAATATGAAATGATAAACAAAATAAGTTGACATATGCTGTCTTATTTTCTGCAAAAGTTAATTTTCTTAAGCTACTAAAGAGCTAATCACCATGTCAACAACGTACATCATCAATAAGAACTAAATTGATTCTATATTTCTTATTAAGTGTGATAAAATTTATCAAAAATCTAATGCTCAAATTGATTATAAATAATTATTTTATACTCAAACTTGTATTTAATTTAAGAATAATGACTGATAGTAAATTATAATAGAAAAATCCATTAAAACAAGTAATTTAAGATTAAATATTGTGTTGTAATCAATAGTCTTCTGCTAAATAGATTTACGAATTTTTTCATGTGACGATTATTACTAATAGAGTCTTTTAAACTTTAATACCTATTTAGTAAAAGACACAGTGACAAAATTTATTTTTATTTTACAAAAATGTTCATTACACTGAAAAAAAAATGAAATCAATAACACTATTTATATTTAATTAGAGATATCCGTTTAATGAAGTACTCCTATATGTAAATGATTTTCTTGATTGTTGTTGCTTACGGCATTAACTTGCGCATATCTGTACAATGGTACCATTATTAGTATCATTTTACCGAGCTCCCGTCGAAACTCTTTACCTACAATCAAGTACCAAACTATGGGCAATGCATAGGACGAATAAATTGGAATTCGAATAATCGTTTGGATAAGAATAAAAGGTCTAAACATGTTTGGTCGAAGTAATATTAAATATTCGATCCATTCTGATAGATTGAGCACAATGTGAGCAACAACAAGTAAGAAAAACATATCTGTTAAATGATATTCCATACGACGACACTTCGAAACGGTTATGGGCAAATCACCAATCAATTTTCTATTCTGAATTGTTAATCGAGTAAATATTATCATAAGAATAGGTGCAATAATAACAAACAGAATTAGTTCAATGATTAAATGAAATTGATTGTAAATTGTATTAGCTCGAATACTGCATCCGAGTCCATCCATTGCTTTAAAATCTGTCACAATTGAACTACTGACGGCGATGATTGCACAAAAAATAGTAGTTATTAAAATTGTCCAATGCATTACGCGAAAGCTATTGAATCGACGATATCGAGCATTCATTGAATTAGCACACCATCGATCAACAGCCGTAAGTACAATAAGATAGTGTGACAAGCCGGTACAAAACGTATTTATAAAGCTGATGAAATGACATAGAGAAATAGAATTTGTAAGTATTTGAATTTGGAATCCATCAGTTAATAGATGATAGATGACAAC